TACTGTCCCCCTTCCTGCCAGAACCATTTCCCTTCGTACCCTCCTCGTGACTCTTATCCTTACCATCCTTTGCGACCTCCTTCAGGTTGCTCCCTTTCCCCTTGCCCTGAGCGTCCTCTACTAGATCTCCTTTCTTCGCGGGCAATTCCCCCTTTTTTTCCCCCCCTTCCGACTCCTTGTCCCAACCACTCTTCCCACCCCCTTTCCCTCCGTTGGTTCCCTCTCCCTTCTTTCCTTTTCCTTGGACCTTGGTCTTTGCAGCAGCCGCATACGACTTTTTGTTTTTCGACCAACACTCCTGGTCCCCTTCCTCGTGGAAATATTTTCTGCAGGCTGGGCACCACAGAGTTGAAGCACAAATAACTTCTAATTCCACGTAACCGACGCTGCCTAGATCTACGATCAGATAACGTCTGTATCGGAGACGTGCAGCCGACTGCAAATCGAAACGGATGTTGAGCAGATCGGGCTCTACTAGGTCGTTGTAGGCCGAAAACTCTTTCAAGATAGGGCCGAAGGCATCAGAGACGACCTTGGAGAGGTGAGGGAGGACACCCACTGGCACCTGTAGATATCTTATCCAGAAGAAACGATGTCTGGCCACCTCCCTCCACTCCCAAAGCTCATTTTCCGTCATCCAAGGCTCAAAGGTTAGTGTATACTTTTTCCCGTCTAATTCCACTATTGATTGGCCAACCCTCAGCATCCAAGCCGCAATTTCCTTTTCTTTTTTTTTTTCTTTTTTTTCATAAAGTCCATGGTGTTGTAGAGGCCGGTCACTGACTGCACAGTGATCACCTGGAGTGGTAGGTCGTGGGTGTCCTGGAATATGAGACCACCTTCCCATCCCATCCTCACATCAATACTCCTAGCCCACCCCCTATCCCACTATCCTACCTCAGTGTGACGAGCACTCAGGACCATCACCCTACCAATGGGCAGGTAACTTGGACCAAACAGCAGTGATAGGCACCAGGGCTGGTTACCCAGCCCTGGCGGAAGCAGAGTCGGACGAGCCTTGTCGAACGAGGACTTTGGACGCCAGGCCCAGACAATGTACTATAGGTCTCAAGAGACTATAGGCCCTAGGTTCAGACAGGGCAGCACTCATTAAAGCAGTCTTACCGTCCTTTCCTAGCTTACCCAAGGCCAGGTGGAACTCGGACTAGCCTAAGCGACTTATACCCTACCCTTAGCCTAGGGTCTAAGCCTAAGCCACTAGACAGTTCTATTCGAATATCAGTAGGAACTCCGGTGACCAGCCTCGTACCTACCACGATACTAGACCCTACCCAGTGATAGACCCCCCTAGTCGGATAGTTGTATAGTTAGCAATCTATGTGTATATATCCGAAGGCTAGATGTACAGTTAGCACCATGTGTGGAAACTTGTGTATGTAGCCCATAGGCCATGTATATTTCGCAAGCTAAGTATGTATGCCTGAAGGTTGTGTGTGCTCTGTGAATCGATGTATGGAAATGTAATGGCAACGAGTTGGACAAGAACCCCCCCCAAAGACCGAACCAAGCTCGAGCCCGTGACCTTGTAACATATAATCGAATGACTCTGCCATGTGAATGACCAACGAAAATGGAACGAACGGATGATATGCCAGACTGGGGAGATCAACAGAACACCCAAGACCGACCCCCCCAAATAACCCATGTGAAACCCAGAACCAACATACAACACCATGAACAACCCTTGGGTGGTGCACAGGCAGTGTCTGTAGTAGTACCATGCATCAGCCCAAGGGAGTGTGTGTCCAGCCGTGCGTCAATCTAACGCCCTGCCGGTGTCCATGCGCAAGATTGCAATTGAGTTTTGGACCCACAACCTGATACCACAATGCGCATTTTCAACCGGTGCTCTAACCACTGAGCCACATCAACTGGACTAGTCGCAATTTCCTTGTCCGTCGCAACGTATGTGACAAGATTTTTCCCTTCATTGTGAAATAGCCCCCTCCTGGGTTGAGCAGCGATCTCCCCCTGTCTAACCCACCCGTTCTCATATACACGCACCAAGCTTTTCTTCACGTTCACGGGGAGTGACGTTGAGTCGTCACCAAAAAAGATAGACACCGCGTGCTGTGACGAACCACTTTCTGTAACGCGCGACTTTCTGCGCGGTTGCAATGAGGGGTCCTAAGTTGGGAAGGTTGGACCAATTACGGGAGATCAGGATCGGTAGAAAATTGCATCAGTGTCCTTGCTTTTTCGTCTTTTTCGTCTTTTTCGTCGCTTCTTTTCGGATGGCTGGGTTCGGAGCTAGGCGTGTCCTAGGATGGCCGGTTGATTGATTGGTTGACCGAATGGCTGGCACGCCACCGCGCGCGCGATTAATAAATGTTGGCGTCGATCTTTTGGGCGCGGACATCGCGCCAGAATTTGCTTTGTTCTTTTTGAATTTTTCTTTCAAATCTTTTTCGAATTTTGTCGAGCCCTGATGGCTTTTGGAATTTCGGACTTTCTTCCCAGAACCTGTACTTTTGCTTTCCCCATTAGTTAGGAATTTAGGAATTTTGTAATGAGGACTTTCTTTTGCCGCGCGACGCCCTTTTTTGCTTACGCGCTTCTTTTTGCAGCTGCAACGAAATTCTGATTAGTCGGCGCCTTTAATCTGGTGTGTAACTGTAATCTTGGGTTGGCGCCATTATAACTGTATCTTTCCTCTTGCTCTTCGTCCTTCCCACCCTCCTTCTCTTTCTTTTGCTGCGTTTTTGAAACTACGGACTGCATGCTCAGATCGATGCGTGGAGAGTGGCTACGTCCCCCACGCCGCGGCCCTGTCATGTAGAAGGTAGGCACTCCCTCTCTAATCTCCCCTCTAAGTCTTGGTAATTCCGTGTTCTTCGCGCGTGCATGCACGCTATAAACCTCGACTGCGCGATTAGTTTACTCTCTTAACCAGTTGTTGGAAGCTGGGGGTTGCGCGATCAAGAAGGGTCGGCACACGAGCGAAGTAAGAGGTGAGTAGAGCAGGAGTCGGGTGACCCGACGAGCTGGTGCCAAACGCACGGGGTTGACGCGGGCCACGACGGACTGTGGGCGGGGGCGAACCTGACGGGTGCGGGAGGACTAAGCGGGGTGACGAGTTCGTGGTTTGCCAGTGGTGCGCGACGACGGATTGTCCGCATCGGAGAAGAAGAGCAAGAGAGAGAGAGAGTTCAGGTTGATGGACGCGGTTTTGCTGTTTCCTTATTTTTTCTCCCTCCTGGCTTGTGTACATAAATTTTGATTTCGGCTTGGCAGTTTGCTCGTTCTTTTCAATTTCTCGGAATTTGGACCGTGGGTTTTTGCTCACATTTGCCCTCGCGACTCTCCCATCTCTGATGTGTTATGTGTATGATTACAGAATGGATGGATGTATGGATGCCATGTTTGATTGCCTATCTTTTTGCTGAGGAACCCTTGTCTTTGCTTTTGTTGGTCGCATTCGATGCGCTCGTGTGTAGAATAGGGATTTTGCGCAATCGATAATCCTGTCTTTGTCTCTGCTTGTCTTTTGATCGAGCTGGTTGTGATCGTTGCATCTTGCATCCTCAGAACAGCACGGAGTGATTAGACGATCGGATGCCGGGCTTGGCGAACGTCGCGCGAGGACACATGTAAAACGCGATCGGAGTTGCGCACTTACACGTATCCCCGGG